CTAGCACGGGGATCCGCTGCCTTAGGTGCTCCCTGCTGTTCTTGCTTCTTCTGGGGCCGCTGGAGGTCGCCGTGCTTGGCCTGGCGCGGGGTAGGCCGGGCCGGAGGGCCGCTCCTGCGCCAGTGGAGGCGTTACGGTGTCCGGCTGGCCCGGGGCGGGCTTGGCGGGCGTTTCCCGTTGGGACTGGGCTGGCGTGGCGTGGGTCTGCGGCTCGAGGCGAAGCAGGGCGGGGCAGGGACGCGCGTTACCGGTAAGCGCCCGAGTGGCTCTCACGGGCAGGTGCGGAATAATCTGCTGGAAGGTGATGCTTCTTTCCGTGCTCTCGTGGCTCGGAGGTGATGTTTGACAGATCACAGATGTTTAACAGACTTGTTGATAGTCCTGTGAGAAATATGTACTGGCTGGCGGTGGTAGTTACCTGATACCTCTCGCTGTCCTGCTCAGCTGTTTATTCCTGCTTTTAATCCTTATTGCAGGTAACTGCTCTTGCAACTAGGATTGGGCTCTATGAAAACTCCCAGAGGAAATGCCAGTTAGGATGGCTAAAGATCTGGAGGAAGCTGGCTCATCCGCAGAGGAGGAAGAAGATGCTTTAGATGGACTGGAGTAAGTAGAAAAAAAAATTCTCCGAACTGTTTCTATGTCCCTGTGTTTTCTGGTGGATCTGTAGTAGTTTGAAAAAACAGATGCATTCCTTACCTCTTACTCTCCTACGTATGAAGTGGAAGATGTTTTGTTTGGGCCTCAAGCCTGTGGGCAGGGTACTTCCATCTGCAGCCTGAAAGACCACCACATTCATCAGGTTTGGATGTGCAGCTTTTCTTTGGCTGCTCTGAAGCCCATAGTTTCATGGATTTCTTTCTGTCATGTTCTTAAAATGGGAACATTTTGTTGATATCTTACCCTTTTTTATTTTCCTTTTTTTTTTAGTATGTGTGGGGTTTTTTGTGTGCGTGTCATTTGTTTTTTTTAGCTTTTATTGCTGCAGAAGTTAGAAATCTGCTGTACAGTAGATTGATATATTTTCTGTCATTTTAATAAAACTGTCTTTTGATAACTACTTAGACTTCATATTCTTTACTAGTAACAAGTCATAATGTTTGTTCCATCTTTGTGTAGTAACTTTTTTTAGCTTTACTTGTGAAGAAATTGCTCCCTTATTCTTTAGCAGATATAGCAGAATCACTTCTGTTTCACCTGGACTTACTTCACTGTGTCCTGTTAGGGCTTATTTGGATGCACATTGTGACTGAGTGCCCAGCTGCAGACTACAATGACAAAAGACATTTAGTAGAATGTTGCTTGATAGAAAATGGTTGGTGTGGATTTGCTAGACCCTCATGGATGGAAAGGTCCAGAACTAACTTCAAGTAGTATGTAACTGTATCAGTATGTCTGCATCAAGTGACCAGGGGTCATGCTAGGAATGAATGACTGTCACCTGGAGGATTGAGCCTTGCTGCAAATCCTCAGGACAAGCTTAGTATAAACTCTTGTCCTGTTGCCTCAGCTCATTTTCCACTTATATAAGGCTCTGGCCTGTACTGAAAATTCTGGAAGCTTCTTGGGTTCCTTCCAGTCTGAATATCTAATTACACCACAGTTGTAATTTTTTTTAAAAAAAATATTTTTAGAGGTAGTAGAAGGAGGTGGGAGTGATGTGAAGTTAACTTGTCTGGGTGACAATGATATTAACTTCATTAAGGGAACCAAGGCTGCCCTTAAGAGCCCCTGTCCTAGCATCAGAAAGTTGCCCTTCTATCTCTGTTCCTTTGTTCTGAGTGTCAGAGCTGTGTTTTGTCTTGTGTAGCTTCTCCAAACCTTTGGCAGACGATGATCTTTCATATTCTGTAGACAAATAGTTTTGTATATCTCTGTTAGTCTTTGTATTTCTTCTTGTTAGTGTAGAGATGTCTCTCCAACCTCTCAGTCTTTGTTTTCTGTTAACTTTTTCATGTTTTTAATTTCCTTGTGTAGCGGTAATGAAAAGCCTGAGTTTTACTTGCCTGTGGAGTATGATAATTTTTCCTTTGTGTGATCCTTGGATTTGATATAACAGGTCTTAATTTTATTGGTGTGTCCTTAATTCCTCTGAGGAGATGGTATTTCCCAGTGTAGTCTTGTTTTGTACAGAACTGATTGCTGCATCTCAGAGCCTGTAGCTTAAGTTGTGCACTGGGGGGCATCGTTCTTGAATTCTGGCTTTGCATTCCACTGTATCTGTCAGGAATTAAAAGGGAAGAATACACAGCTTTATCCATTGTGTTGAGCCAAGTCTGTTCTAATCTGTCAAACTCAGCATTAGTGCTTTTTTTGTGCACTTCAGACTCCAGTATTATAGCCAGGCAGACTGTGCTGACCTGCAGTTCTAAAACTGGAGCCTGGAACCTGCATTGCAAGGTCTGGTTGTGTGGATACCAGCAATTGTGGTTTATCATGAATTATAGATCTTGTTTTCAGGCTATAAATTCAGGGAACTGTAGCAGTGAAAGCTCATGACGCCTCTCCAAAATTATACCCACTAAAATAAATACAGGACTAAACAGGATTAAACAGAGCTCAGACTGGCAAGATCAACTCATAAAGAGGGTGATCTGGAAGATACCCCTTATAGCCAAGTACCGAAGGTGCTGTATTGCATTTGTGTGGCCAGGTTTTAGTAATGGGAAGGCTGCAGGGCTGGGTTCTGTGAAAAGTTGCCAGAAGCTTCCTCCATGTCTGACAGAGCCAGTGCTCCAACATGGACCCACCACTGGTCAAGATGGAGCCCAGGAATGATGGTAGAAACACCACTGTGATAACATATCTATGAGGAGAAAAAAAAGTTGTTGCATGGGGGTAATAGTGCTCAGAGAAGAGAGGAGTGGGAATACGTGACAAGAAGAGCTCTGCAGCCACCTTGGTTGGAGGGCAAGGAGGTGCTCCAGTTGCAAGAGATGGGATTCCTTGCAGGCTGTGGTGAAGTAGCTATGCCCCTGAAGTCCATGAAAATCTGTGGGGGTGCAGAGATCCACCTACAGCTCGTGCAGGAGCCCCACACTGAAGCAGGTGTATGCCCAAAAGAAGGTTGGGATCCCATGGAAAGCGTGCTCTGGAACAGGCTCCTGGGAGGGACCTCCAGAGCTATAGAGAGAGGAGCCTACCCTGGAGCAGATTTGTAACCCCATGGGGGACCCATGCCGGAGCAGCCTTTTCTTTAAGTACTACACCCTGTGGAGAGGGACACATGCTGGAACAGTTCATGAAGAACTATAGCCCATGGTCAGTTTTCACATTGGAGAAGTTTGTGGAGGACTCTGCTGTGGGAGGGACCCCAGGCTGGAGCAGGGTGTGGACTCTGCTTGAGGAGGAAGCAATGGCAGAAACAGCGTATGATAAACTGGCTGTAACCCCCATTCCACATCTCCCTGCACTGCTGAGGGGAAGGGGGTAGAGATTCAGGAATAAAGTTAAGCTCAGGAAGGAGGGGGAGGAGTGGGGGAAGGTGTTTTTAATATTTGATTTACTTCTCATTATCCTGCTCTGATTTTGATTGGTAGTAAGTTCAATTAGTTTCCACAAATTGAAAGCCTGTTTTCCACAAGCCCACTCTAGCCCGTGACTGTAATGGGTGAGTGATCCTTCTCTGCCCATGAGAAAACTCATGAGTCTTGTGGTAAATTTTTTCTCACCTGTCCAGCTGTGGAAGGGAATGATGGAGCAGCTTTAGTGGGTGCCTGGCATCTAGCCATCACAACCACAAAACTCTGGCTGAAATGCCAAGACTAAATTTCTTTGCTACCTTGCTCACTGAGGGATTCCCAAAGCAGCATCAGAGGTGTGCAAGAAGAGAGGCAGGCACTGTGGAGCTTGGTTCTTCCTAGAGGATCACTGAAGCTGCTGCTTGCACCTCTTTTTCAGGGATTCTTGCAGGTGTATTTTACCACTGTGCTTTTACCTTTCCCACTGCAGGGCAGGAATCTCAAGCATGTTTGATAGAGTGCCGTGAGGTCTATTGCAGTGCTGTGCTATCTGACTTCAGATGATCTACTTGTGAAACACACAAAGATAGACAACAGTTAGAATGTGATATGTATTTTTCTATACCCAAGCTGTAAGTCACTTAGGTATCTTTACAGTCCTCCTCACTAATCTTCCACTGTTTTCCTCAGCATGTTTGGTTTTGTGCTGTCCACAGTCTAGGTGAGTAAATATGGAGAATTGCTGTGTCGTTATTGTAGCTAACTGCTGTAGGTATGAGGCTCAGCAGTTGCTTGTACTGACTGTCTGTCATTTCAGGGATCATCCATGTATCAAGTGGACCGGTGGTGGCTGCAGGCGGGTCCCTGTCTTGGTATTTCATGCTGAAGCCATTCTGACTAAGGACAGCTACCTCCGTCTAATTGGAGGTGGGTGCTACTATATGCCAGCTTTTGGTTTGAAGGCACGAGGTGAAAGTCTCTTACCTGACTCTCCCTTCACTTTGTGGTGGGAAGAGGACGTGATAGGAAAGAAATCAGAATCTTCTCTAGTCTCTGACCACTGTGACATTCAGAAATGCTAAATCTGTTGGTGAATGCTTTTAATGTCTTTAGACTATGATAAGTGTCTGTCCCTCCACTGGGCGCTGATGTGTTTTGAGTTGGAACTGTCTGCTTGCAAATTGAACTCGGAGGCCATGCTAGAGCTTAGAACCAGAATACAAATTCACTATAGCTAAGACCTTAAAATCAATAATTGTAGTGAGTTTTGAGAGCATTTCACTGGGAAATAAAGCAGCCAGCCCCACAGCTGAACAATGATAATCTATAGTAACAAATCTCTGAGTCTACAGCCTCACAGCCCTGAGAAGGCCATTAACAAAATGGTTGCTGGCAGCACTTGAGTTGGGAGACCAAACCTGTCTAGTGTCAGATAATGGAGAGCCTCTAATGAGTCTGGGTTGTTATAAACAGTCACTTTGGATTTGAAAAGTTAGTACTTGTGGGTGTGTACAGCTGGGAGCTTGTTCTGGATGTGCTGACTTGGAGGAAAGCTAAAATCTACTTACCTTCTTTCTGTGAAGCTGCTGACACTTCTTTCTTCTCGTTTTTTCCTTTCTTAGGTAATTGGTGCTTTTGTTTCTATTATCCTATCCAAGCAGAAATGCTTCTGGCTCATTGGGGTAAGGGGTGGAGAAGGTGATTTATATGTGGAAACTCCTGATCCTTTTCATGTGAGTTAAAAACATACTTGGATGGTGCCAGAAGCTGATGGTAATTGTAACTCATTTTTACTGGAGCGTGGGGTCTCTTCTACTTTTTCTTACATGGTTTAACAAGTTTACTGCTGAATAGTGCAACTTGTTAAATTTCTTCCAGCTTTGTTTCGTTCCTGATTATGCTACTTCTTATTTTTCTGACTTACTTTTGTTGAAAGAACGTATTTCCTGAAGTTAAATCGAATCTTCATCCTTTTATTCTCAGTTTGAGTCAATTTGTAAGCTGCCTTTTCTAGGCAGTTCTGTATTCTAGCATTGCAATTTCTTTCTCCACTGTCTTTGAACTCTTTTGTAGATTGCCACATCCTTTTATAGCACAACTGACCTCTAGTCTTGCTACTTGCTTTTGGTTTATCTTATACCTCCAGGGCTGCTTACTGCCATTGTTTTTATGACTTTCTACTTGCATAGTGAGTTTATCTTTTGATTTCCTTGTACTATTTACTTTTTTTCTTGCTGTATTTGCACTTATTTGTTGGAAGATTGGTACAGGTGAATGAGATGTAAACAAAAATTCAGTGCTTTATTTTGGGTTTTCAGGATCTAAAATGTGATCACATAAACTAGCCATGTCAATGAGGGGCATTAGACATGATTACTTTTAGCTAAGAATACCAATATTAAATAGAGAAGAGAGCTAAAATCACGTTTGGAGTGTTATAAAGCAGTCTATATAATGGAATGTTTAAAAGATAAAATCTGGGTATTTGTTATACTGTCCTGTGCATTATATGTTGGGGTTCTGTGATGCTACTATATAATAGCTAAGGATCGATGTAAGTCAGTTCACTGATGCTGATGCTGGCATTTCCCATCTCCCTTTGCCTGTTATGTGCATCGTGCGAACAGACAGCCGGCTGGTTCGGAGCATTCTGAGCGCCCATGGATTCCATGAGGTGAGTGCAGGGAACTTCTGACCTGATTTTGTGCTGGGCTGGGAGGTAATGATAATGTTTTTGGATTTTTTGGCGTTTGTTTATTTGTTTTAAGTCTGCAGGAAGAAGAACCAGGAAGTCGTTGTGGCCCCCCTTGAGGTTTTTGGTTTTGTCTTTTAATGTACTCTGCTAGTCAGACTGAAAAGATGTCATTTTGCTCTCTCAAAGGAGAACCCATTAGTCTTAAGCCTTCAAAAATAGGGGAAAAGGAATGCCGAGGTTTGGTCATGTGTTTTTTCTCTTTTTGTTTTTAAAGTGTCACACCGTTGGGAAAATACGAAGGATTTAATTTCTCAGCCTTTACAAGCTCTCAGAAGTGTTCATGTAGAATTTCACACTTTTCTTCTAGCGCCTGTCTTGCTCTAAAGAATGTCCTGTATGCAGCTAACAACAATTTGAGGGATGCGTAGGGTTGATTTTTTTTCAGAATAACAGCAACTTAAGGAATTGATCTGACAAGTTTTCTGAAGAGATTTAAAATGCTTTACAAACTGTGTTTAAACCGTCTGTGAAAAATAACAGTCTCACAACTTTGTTTAGAAAAATTTGACATGGTTATTTCCCACTATCGGAATACCTTAGGGCAGCAGTCTGGCTGGACTTGCCCTCGTATTAGAGACAGTAGAGAAGACTGTCATAAACTAGAGTTGCTTTGGCCTTGTAGATCTAGGGACAAAGGTGTTGCTTTTCGTTAGCTTGATGTTTTTCTGTGTGATGTTTTCCATGTTGCTTTTTAGGTTCACCCTAATAGCAGTGATTATAATCTCATGTGGACGGGATCACACTTGAAGCCCTGCTTGCTGCGCTCCCTTACAGATGTTCAGAAAGTCAATCATTTCCCTAGGTAAGGCCTTGATACCATGTTTTGTTGAACATCTCTGTGGTGATTAGCAATCTGAACATAGATACCTCCCAGAAATAGAGTATACATGGTGCTGTAAAATCCCAGCAGACTGGGCTAGTGCCACATGCTGTCATCATTCTTAATGGTCTTTGGGATTTTTGGGAAATAGTATATGAATTAAAATGCTTGTCTGTAGCCCAAATATTGGATTTTTAATTTTATTTTCTTTATTTGATGATAAATTATTTGTTACTTCCGGTTTTTAGTTAGAGGGATAGTCCTATGTCCCCAGCTAAAGTTTGTAACCACCGTTTTAACAGATTGCTGTGCTTCACTCTGTCTTGGGAATTGCAAGAAGTGCCACAAACGATATTAATACAACCATAAGACAGAGGCAGTAAAGCTTGAGAGTAGTTGCAGTTTAGGGTTTAGACATCTGACAATGCTGCAGATACTTCAGTAACTAGGACAAAGAGTCGCTATAATGTCGGGGGAAAAAATAGCTTCAGTCTCTTGTTTTGGGACTCCAGGTCATATGAACTGACACGAAAGGACAGACTGTACAAGAACGTCTGTCGAATGCAGCTGGCCCATGGGTTCAAGACATTCCATATCTTACCTCAGACCTTTATCCTCCCAACAGAGTACCAGGACTTCTGTAGTAAGTGAAGGGCTGGTGATGCCCAGACATAAAACAAAATAATGGGGTGTGGGGGGAAGGGAATTATTTTTAATATCCTAGCTTTTTGATCATGCCAGTGGTTAAGGCAACAAAATTAGAGGAAAAAAAAAGCTGTGAAGAGAGTAGAAAAGGTCCATATGATTTCTTTACATAATTTCTAATCTTCTGTTTACTCCATGCCTGTGTAAGTTTTCAGAAAGCTGATGTAGGCTTAAGACTCCAAAATGGAGGAGTTTATATGTGTACAGCATTGTTGATGATCAGCTTCACAATATCCCTGCCTAATGCCTGGGAGTACTGAAGTGAGAAGTGCCAAAAGGAGGCATGGTCTATCAGAGCAGCAGGGAGGGCTTTAGGGAGGGGCTGTAATAATTGCAGTGGTTCCAGAGGGGTGAAGTAGGACATCAAAAGAGCAGACTTTGATCTCCTTGTGGAGTTCCCTAAAGCGTTTACCATAGGCAACAGTCTTGATTCTTGCTCCCCTGTTAATAAGCAAAACAGAAAATGTTGCAGACTTGTGCTGTTTTCTTTTAACCAGATACCTTTTCTAAGGACAGAGGCCCATGGATAGTGAAGCCTGTGGCCTCTTCCAGAGGTCGAGGTGTCTACCTGATAAATAATGTAAGTGTTCATTAAAAAGACTGCTCTTCAGTAGCACTGTCCTCAAAACTATGTTGGGTTCCAGGCAAGAGGTATGGAGGCATCTAACTGGACACTGGCCTTACTCTCAATTTCAGCCATATATTGGTGAGCAGTTCAACAGCCCTGAGCAGCTTGGAAGGCATGCCTGGGCTTGTGCTGTGTAACCAGAAGCTGTCTAGCTCTTTTTATGCTCTGCTCATCTTGCAGTCTACCTTCAAGTCTTAGCTTATTAGGAGCAAGTTTATACTCCCTGAGACAGTTTGGGAAGCTGTGCTGCTTCATGCTATCTTTGTGGCTGACAGTAGGCTGACCTTGTGGAGATTTCCAGAACTCTCCTTAGTTGTTTCCCTGCGTGACCTAAACAGTCCTCAAACAGACCTGTTATCTCCCACTTCCCCATGGAAAAGACGAGTTTAAATGAACCTTGATAGAGTAGGAAGTGTATCAGTATTAAAGCTATGTTATCTAAAGGCCAGTGTGTCCTGTCTGAGGTGTAATGGGGGTACTTCTTTGAAATCAATGTGCAGGTTTTAATGTCTTTTGCTCTTTGTGGGCTTTGCAGGGAGTTAAGTTGTCATAGGTAACAAATATATCTGAACTGGAGCCAAACACGAGGGGATTCCAATAAATATGCTCAACAGCAAAATGACTGTTGAGTCATTTTGTTTTCACTCATTCAAACCTCTTTAGCCTTCCCTGCACTCAAGGGGTCATGCTGCCTCATCTGTTCTCTGCTTGGATCATTTCCCATAAAATATGGGAGCAATTTGCCAAGTCTATGAGGTAAGTATTTCCAGAGCTACACTCAGTTTTTTCTTTGCTTGAAAGGGAGGAATGAGCTCAGGCTCACATGGCAGTTGGCCATGACCTGGAGAAAATACCCTTCTGGGACCAATATCCCTTTGTGTATTTCTGTTTGAGAAGCACTACAGCTGGTTTGGCCTACAGGACAGTTTCCTTCAGTGTGATGCCATTAAAAGAGTCTTTCAGAATCTCATCACAAAAGTTTTTGAAAACAGGTAGAACCCTTCCAAACAAATAACAAACCTTTGCATTTCCCTGATCTATATAGAACAGTGTGTCACTTTTGTGTGATATTCTAAGGAAAACTGAGCTTGTTATCTCACATTCTGTATAAGCATTTTATATGCTTAGGTTTTTTGCTTGTGATGTTGGTGTTGTGGCTGAATAGATTCAAAATTGAATAAAAGTAGAATCTTGTGATTCTCTTGCCTCTTTCTCAAACTAAAGGCAAGAAAGTGATGTACAAGAAACTGATTACAAGAGAGCCTTGCATACAGCAAAAAGTAAAAGCTTTTTCAACAGATCCCATAACTTTGTGATGTGTATTTGTCATAGTTGGAGCTTTCTGTTCTTACCTACAAGCATAGCTTCTTTTGGGTACAGCAGGAGCTCCTGCTGTGAACTGACACTCAGTAGAAGGTAGGCAGAAAAGATGGATACCAGCCCAGGATGTAGTTATAAAGATCACAAGTTGAGTAATTTTCTTCACTTGTGACTTCCTCACCAACTGTAGTTGCATACTCCATCCTGGGTTCCTCACCAACTGTAGTTGCATACTCCATCCTGGGTCTTCTAAACCTCTTCTCCATGTGTTTGGCTAAACCTGAGAAGCAAACAGAGTAACAGTTACTTCTTACATGTGTGGTTTTTTTTTTTCTTTACATCATTGCCATGTGGCTATTAAATCTCTGGTACTCCATGTATTTTACTGGAAAATTCAATGAGCAGGTTTTTTTAAATGTGTTGTGACTGACAGTTACGTTTTTTCATTTTGGTTTTATTTCTTCCTTCCTCAGACATTGTTATTGGTACAGGGTGGCTTTAGGAGGGAAAGGCAGGAAAAAATGGTGGATTTGATCTAATTTCTTCTTACACTTCACATCTCCTGTTTTTTCACTCTTAAAATCTCTGTTCTTCTGCAGCCAAATCAAATTGTAGTGGAAGACAACATTTTGGTGTCTCGTTACATCAGCAATCCCTTGCTCATAGATGGTGAGTGTACTTAGGAATTGCTTTTCTCCCTTTCCCCAACCCTGCATCTAAGGATCTCTGCAACCTTTGCAGGAGTTTAGTTGAATAATTGAGTGGTCTAGCTTGGTCTAGCATTAGACAAATGTAGCTAGATAATTCATTAAAACCTGGAAGCTTTTCAACTTCAATAGCTTCAGCCACCTATTCAGCAGCAGATAATAATTTATTGCTCTCAGAGTCTGTTGAAATTCCTCAACTAGTTATGATGTCTGAAAGATATTTGCAGTCACTGACTCGTTGACAACTGTATTTCAGATTTCAAGTTCGATGTGCGTCTCTATGTTCTGGTGACATCCTATGATCCACTCGTCGTCTATCTCTATGAGGAAGGATTGGCCAGGTATGAGAGAAGTCTTTGTTTTTCAGTATACCTGCACTTGATGATCCAGACATTTCTTGGATTGCCTCTCTACTCCTGAAACAATAGTAGTATGAGGAAAGTGCCAGTTAGGAAATTCTGAAGAGTTTAAATAGATGGTACTTCATCATGATGTGTCCCATCAGGTTTCTTCATATAGATTATAGGATCTTGAGTGAGGGATTTTATTTTTTTATATATAATTAATAAAGCAAGTTTTCAGCTGTCAAGGGTTGAATGGCCAAACAGGTTGTCATTGGCATGTTCATTCTCAATGCTGAGTTCTTCTTGAAACTTGGGATTGTTGATACCTTTGTGCCTCTTCTCTATTCTCTGAGAAGGGAATCCAAGTGTCCTCAAATTTATCCTAGAAAAAAAGTAGTTGGAGATGTGTTAATGAATGAGCTTAGTGACTCATTCATTTCAATGACTCCTCTAAATTTTAAGTCAGCATTTGTATTTTCTGCAGTATCTACTATGTGGTTTTAGGCCAGTTCACTATTTTCACCCTTCAAGATAACAATTTTCCTTTGCATGTAAGTCATGAAAGGACATCTAAGATTCCCTAGAATCAATACTCGTCTACCAAAAATACCTGTTTTTCTTTGTCCCAGAAGTTTAGCAAAATATTTGTCTGTAGTAAGTAATGGATTTGAGGCAATCACCCCTCTGAATTCCCAACAGATCAGAGTTTTAACTGTAGTGATGTTTGAGAAAGGAACACCACACAACTGTCTTCAGCAATAATTTTAAGTAACGCTCTATCTTTCTTACAAGCACATCTGATGTATCTGGAATATCTCTAGGGTTCATGCCTGACACGGCTCTGACTTGGGTAGGTGCTGAATCCAAATTATCTTTGGATAATAATATCTCCAAGAAGATAATGAATCCCAAAGAATACATAAATAATGACCCCACAAGAAATATCTATTAAATTGTTGAATGCCCTTTGGGTGTGTTGTGATGTGCTTCTGCCTGCAAAGATAACGTGAACACATTTTTTCCGTAAAAGGAGGCAGAAAGGGGAAGCTCGTCTTTGTAAGTGGAAAGCTTACGAAAACAACTGTGTTCACTTTAGAAAGGGAGCCTTAAACATGCCAGTCATGCAAGACTTTTCTCTTGGGAACTGGCAGCTAAATTGTTAGCTGCTAATATTGCATGTTTATGGAAAGTGAAGAGAGAAACAAGGTAGTGTAGAATTCCAGCATGTTTTCAGAATGGGCAGTACATAGCAGGCCTTTAAAAACAGGATTTGCACCATCATTAATATCTTAAAGGTGGTTCTGCTGATCTTGTAACAAAGGAATTTCTGGAAAATTCACCTGTATAAAGACAAGTATTCTACTCTGAGGATAAGTGTGCATTTTTGCCAGTAGAGTAATATATTTTGCTTGAGGGTAAGAGTGTGGAAATGCATATGATATATGTTCAGAAACATCAGTCTCAACAATTCTGGACTCTCAGTCTTCTGTGCTCATCTTCTCAGTTCCCCTCTGGCAGCAATACTTGCAAATCACTTTTCAGTGTTCTGAAATCCTTAGCAGTTTTGTGTGTTTTGATTGCATTTATTTAAACTGTAATCAAGTCTGGTGCACATGGTGTTGACACACATGACGAGTGGAACATGTATCTACAGGACACCACAGTACTGCTTACTAAAGTTTTCCTTTCTTTCGAACTGCATCCCATCCTTCAGCTTTCTGTGAGAGGTAGATAGTATATGGAGACTACATGTAGCACTAGGTATCTTAATGCTGCTTTGTGGTATAGTACTCTACCAGTGCAACTATGGAAGAGGTGTAGAGGAAATTAAATTATGAGTTGTCTTTCTCCCAAGAGAGATAACTCTGGGCTCTGGAGAGTAGCTCTGGTTCTGTTACTAAAATTCAACTGACCACTGAGCATTTTCAGCTGAAGTGTGAGCTATGGCTAAGGACTTGTAGTTGAGTGCTTTCACATGGTAGCTGTAAGTTTATTGCAACCAGTACCTTAAGCTTTTCCCATCTACTGTGGCTGAGCAGCTGGTATGTTCATGCTGCAAGTGCTGGCAAGCTCTCTTTGGAGGACGAGGCTCAAGGTGAGCAGAGGCTGATAAAACTTTAGCTGGGCTGTTCTGTGTGGCCTCCAGATGGCACTAGTGGTCTTTAGTTGTAGCAATTTGCGTTTTCCCCATACCCTGCATTTGCAGACTCAGTTGGTGAGAGGTAAAGGACCTGGAGTTACTGGATTATGGCTTCCTATTTAGCTGTTTTGCCATTCATTTTACAGTGTGAGTTATGTGCTGGGAGAGAGCACTGGATTGCCTCACATGGTGTAATGCTTTGTTTTACAGCTGGAACAAAAGTTTAGCTCTGCAGGGGGAGGAAAATGTTTTAACCTTGGGAAATAGAAGCTGTTTTTAATGCTTTGCTTAAGAAAAAAAGAACAACCATGCTGCTTAAGAGTAAGTAGAAACAATTTCTAGCAGAGGTTTGGGAGGTAATGTCAGAGTCTGTAATCAAAGGTGGTGTAGAAGCAATCTAAAGTGAAAAATACCAGCAGAACAAAGCAGTCTGGTTTTGGAATCTCACCTCGTGCTTGTGGTGCACTACGGTGACTGCCATGTTGTGAATTTGCTTTCTGAAGGCAGATAGTCTCTAAAGTGTAGTAAGGGTGAGCCTAGCTTGGTGTTTTAATTTTTTTTTTCCATTTGCTTAGTCTGTCTGAAAGATCATGTTCCTCTCTAGTGTTATACTTTGCATATTCCAAGAGGAACCTGACTGTTTTCAGTAAACTTGGTGGTCTCTACCAGAAAAGTAGTGCTATGAGGATGCCATGATCTTACAACGAACAGACCTGGTATAACAAACATTTGTGATGTTTGACTAGATATTTCCTTAGGCCTTGTTTCTTCTGGCACAGCTAGACTTGTCATGCCATGATCTAGAGTGGAATTTGAGGCTTCAGAGCTAAGGAGAAGTAAGAGATCGTGGATCCAACATTTTTGTACCTTCTGTTTCACTTTCCAAGTTTCATCTGAAGGATGTAGGAAGGCTGTGTACCCAGATGTGTGTGACAAAGCCTTCAGCTGCTGTGTTGGAAGTGCTAAATAACTATTTGGTTTGCCCTGGCCAAAGTTGTCTCTCTTTTATTATTTTTTTTAATGCAGTTTTTTAGGAAGATAATGACTTCAAAGTGCTTGTGTCATGATTTTGTTTTGTTTTGGTTTTGTTTTTTTGTCCTTTGTGTGGGTTTTTTGTTTTGGTTTGGTTTTTTTGTTTATTTTGTTGGGTTTTTTTTCTGTTTTCCTCTAAAAGACTACTGAGGAGAACGTAGGAAGCACTGATGTTGAGTATATGTTGAGCTATTTCCACCCCACTCCGTGTAGAATAAGCTGTATAAGGGGACAAAGCCTCAAGTGAACAGTCAGACTTTTGGAGAGTTATTGAGAGTGGTATCAGAGAAAGTGCTCTGTTTTTATCTTTTGTTACAATACAACTTTTCTAGCCATGCCTCCCTTGAACTCGGTTAAAACTTGTTGCATATTTTATGCCTGGTGGACCTCTAGAAGGAACACTGCTAATAGATTAGTTTGAAGATACTCAGTGATCTGTTTGGAGGGAGTGCAGTGGGGTGGGAATTTTTTTCTCTTACTTCAGGCTTGAAACAACTGAAGCTGTGAAGCTTGTGTGTAAGACATAAAGCAGTGCTGGGTGACTTAAGATCCTCCTGTTGGATTGAAAAGTGTGTTGAACACTTTTCTAGTACTTATTAAAAAAAAGTACACAGAGTGTGCTGCCATACATCTGTTAAATTGGCAGATATTTAGTAACTTTGTACTGGAAAGGACAGTTGTAATCTAGATTGGTTGTCTGTGATCACAGCCTGGAGAATTGTAGCTGGGACCTTTGCATTGAAGGTATAGGTTTGGTATAGGTATAGGTTATGGCAAACTTGGTCCAGGGTAACTGTCATCTGATCATACATTAAAAATCTTGGTAGTTTTATTTATCTGAGATTTCCAAAACAGACGATGCAATATATTTATTGACATACCTTTTATATCATTGTTTGAATAAGAGGTACATTGTTAATAAACTACAGCCTTAATTATAAACTTTGACATGCTTTTGAAGGTGACTCACCAAGCCCAGTTATGTGGGAGTCCCAAGGCTTCATTTAGAGCCAACTGCTGAATTGGTGGATTATGCTGTTTTTTGGAGGGGCATTCATGTAAGTAGAGAATAACAAGCCTGATTCGTGCCTGAAATACAGCTGAAGAGAGTACAAGGCCAGGATTAGCTTGTGCTGTTTGTTAGCCTTGCCTGTTTTGCTAGTTCTCTCTCCTGTCTAACTTCCCCTCCTTCTGTGTGGGACAGAAGGGAGCCTGGTGGACCTCTCTGCTTTGGTGCCTGCAGGCATGATGAGGGCTCGACACATAGTGTGGGGAATTCATAATGAAATGGCTCCTTGTTTTGGGGAGACTTCTTGATAGACTGCTTTTTCTCCTAAACCATGTTTTAGACAGCCCTGTTTTTGAACTTTAATAGCTGGAAGGGTTGTAGACCATCAGGAATTTGTCATTCAGATTTACACTGAATTTGAAAAATAGATTAGAGAAAAAGAAGTAAAACTGAGCTGAAACCTAAACATTCTTGCAAAAGGCCCAAGGAGCAGCAGCTTGGGGAGACTTTCCAGTGGGACACAAGTGTTTGCTCTGGGGTTAGACCTCTGGGCTTTGCAGCACCTGCCACTAGCTGCTGTGCTGCCGCTTGAGCTCACACCACTCAGCCTTGTGACATCCTTCCTTCAGTAGCCTGGCTTCCTAATTGATACTGGCTCCTCTGGGATATTCACCATTTCTGTGCTGGATTCCTGTGGTTTCCAAAGAATTCAGGTGTTTGCTTTGAGCCAAGGAATTCACATTAGCTCACAGGCTGTGCTTAGGCCAGAGCTGGCTGAGCCAGCTGCAGCAGCCCCATCCCTCTTGCAGTAACCCC